TGGCATTCCTTTTCAACGTTTAACACAGTAATGAGAATATGGATTTGTAATCTAATATATTTGTGAAGAGCACAGACAAACCTGTGCATTTTACCGGGTCAGTATTTTCCATTGTGTGAATTTCAAGCAGCTTAGGTGGTTTCCAGGACTGTTCTCTCCAATGGAGAAAGAACTCACAAAACTGTCAGAACCTGGGGGCCTGTGAAGGATCGTTGAGAGTGGACATGACTTGGCCTGTCAGTGATCTATCTAGTACCTGGTGTGCCAGCTCAGCTGTGGCCAGAACACAGACCAAGATATGTGTGGGCAAAACAGCTCTCCAAGTGCCAGAGAGTCTGAGTTCTAATATGACCAAATAAAGTCACAAGCAGCATCGCAGAGACACAGTTCTATTGTGCCAAAGCTCTCAATCACTACTCCAAGTGCCACGTCTAAGCTATTGTAATTTATTTGGTTCTTAGTGGAGGAAATTTCCAAATCTAAATATAATAGAAAACAACATCAGAAATCTGAATTAGTATATGTAGACACAAAAGTACAATATAACTATGATTAAAAAGAAATCTTTCTAGGGTGGTTAATAGTACACTGTGCAATACTTGTCTGGGCTGGCTGAAAAAGGGTTAAAGGTACTATAAGCAGAAGAGATGAAAATGTATCTTTAACCTTATACTTCTCACCAGATGCAGGTGGTTGATGCCTATAATCCTAGGTACTCAGGCAGCATGCATGCATGCATGCACACATACACACCCCCAAAAGAAAACTTACACTTCTCAAGTCCACATGCAAGGAATGTAGGACAAATGACCCATCAACTTCAGGTGGCCCTTTAGGGCTAGTCATAAAGTCCAGTAGGGTTTGAACTTAAGGCTTTACAACATTTGCTCAGTGATAGGCAGATGCTTTACCACCTGAGTCATGCCCTGAACATTTTCATCCCAGTAACTTTACCTGTGCCAGAAAGTATACCACACACACACACACACACACACACACACACACACACACACACACACACACACACACGTTAAAAAACAGAATGAAGACGAGCTGGTGGTTCACACTGGAGCTCCTAGCTACTCAGGAGGCTGAGATCTGAGAATCACACTTGGAAGCCAGTCAGGGCAGAAAAGACCATGAGATTCTCTAGTAAACTACTCAGAAAAGGCCACAAATGACATTGTGGCTCAAGTGGTAAAGCACTAGCTTTGAGAAAAAGAATCTCAGGGACAGTGCCCAGGCCCCCAAGGTCAAGCTCTAGGACTGGCACAAGAAAATAAAAACAACAAAAACAGAATGAAAATCAGATAAAGCTGCGTACAGTGGCACATACCTGTAATCCTTGATAGTCAATTAGAGGAAGAGGATGGCAAGTGTGAGGTCAACCCTGGCTCCTTAACAAGTGTGTCTTGAAGCTCATACACCATTTGGGGTGAGAACACACACACACACACACACACACACACACACGCACGCACGCACGCACGCACACACGCCTGTGCGCGTACTTTTCTAACATTCCAGTCAACACCACTAGCAGGCATCAGTGCTTAACTAGATCAAGACAAAATTCCTGAGTGTCTAATCTTCATAGGCTATACTGGGTTAATCTTTTTTTTTTTTTTGGGGGGGGGGGGGGGGGGAGAGAAGGTCAGGTTGTGGGGCCTGAACTCTGGGTCTGGGCACTGTCCCTCAGCTCTTTAGCTCAAGGCTAACGCTCTACCACTTGAGCCACAGTGCCACTTCCGGCTTTTCTTTTTGCTTATGTGGTGCTGAGGAATTGAACCCAGAGCCTCATGCATGCAAGGCAAGAGCTCTATCACTAAGCCATCTTCCCAGCCCCTATACTGGGTTAATCTTAACACCACACCTGGCTCATTTCAGAATAAAGTCTTTCCTTTTCTCATTTTGACTTGGAGGAGGCTCTTCGACTTCTGTAAGACCCATTTGAACTCTCTTTCTCCAAGAAAGCAGCTCCCTGGCTGCTCCAACTCTTTCTTGTCTTCTGGCTCTTCTGACACTGTGTTGTCTTTCTGTACACTCACCACTTCCTCTGTCCGTTCACAGGATTTAGTTAAGTCCTTTACAATCATAAAATGCATTTTATACATCTGTCATTATAACTTTAAACTAGGGATCTAGTTTTATGGAATTAAGTTTCCTTGTGCATCTGACATTTATGAATGACACACAACTTGGGCAAAGCTGTAGTTGGATGGTATTCTACCTAATTTAGTCATGTATGTAGACACACACACACACACACACAGAATAGTCTGTGATATGTGAGAGTCTGATATGTATGTTTCTCTCTCCAAGAAACAAACATGCAAGCTTACTTGCCAAGCTAAAAGAAACTAGAGTTATTGTTGGATATTCAATATCCCCCAAAACATATATTAAAGAAATACTCAGAGATGTGAACTGGTGAAGCAGATCATGAGAGCTGTAACCTAATCATGGCTCATCTCATTGATGCTACATAATTCGATGGCATTACTGGGAGACAGCAGAAGCTTGTTGGTATGACCTGAAAGTGACAGATTCTTTGAAAGGTGTGTCATGTCGCAGGCCCCTCTCGGCATGATTTTCTTAGCTGCCACCAAGTGAGCAATTCTACTCTACCACCAGCCTCCCACCACAATGTTTTCTATCCTGCGTCGGGTTCAAAACCAATGGAGTCACCTAACAATGGACTGTTTTACAATCCAGCATTGCCTCTTTACTACTGCTGGGGCATGTGAGAGAAAACAAAGGTGACAACATAGTGAACATGTATCAGAAAGTTAGTTTGTGGCAAAAAAAGAGTCCTTATGGTTGCCAATTTCCTAAACATCTGGATGGCAAGAATACACAGTGTCTGATGTAAAGTCAATTGCGCCAGGCACTGGCGGTTTATGCCTATAATCCTAGATACTCAGGAGGCTGAAATATGATGATCACCATTCAAAACCAGGCCAGGCAGAAAAGAGCCATGAGATTCTTACCTCCAATTCACCACCCAAAAGCTGGAAGTAGGGTATGGCCCAACTGGTAGAGCACCAAGCTTGAACAATAAAGGGAAGAGACAATGCCCCGGCCTTGAGTTTAAGCCTCAGTACAGACAAAATGAATGAACAAATGAATAAATGAAAAATAGGAATTTTTTCTTGGGTGTGGGGGAGTTATTAGATTTTTAACACAGGGCCTCTTACTTGCTAGGAGGCCCTTGACCTGAACCTCAAGCTCATCCCTATCATACTATTCTGATACAGTGGAAATGACTAATCTAATCAGTCATATTTGGGAAAAACAATGGATATAGATACACACTGCCATCTTCTCAGGCAACATTTCTAGGTCTCAACACACAAGCAGAATTCATTTGTACCTCCTCCGCTTCCCTATGGTGTAGCTTTTGTGAGAGCTCCTCTTGCCAAGTGCCACAGGACCTGGGGGAGATTTGGCTGATCCTGCAGCAGAGGCCAATGAGCCTGGCCGAGAGTGAATCTCACACAGACAGAATAATTAGCTCCTTTCATGAGAGACATTTGCAAGTTTTATGAGGCATATCTGAATTTGTTTTGAAGGAAATCATTAAATGTGTGGTTAAAGCTGCCGATACCATGAACTTTCACTATTGTTTCTTGACTGAAAATAAGAATAATTTTCCTGTGAAAATGTAATTATTTTCTGGGAAAATAAATGTAGATTGCTGGGACACTCCCTTGGAAATTTTCTCTTTACTCTCTTTACTCTTTACTACTTATGAAAACATATAAAACTGTTTGTTCAAACTTGAGTGTGCATATTATCATACCATTTTAGTAACTAGAATTCAATTCTGGTTGAGTAGATCTAGTGGGGCTTGACATTCTCCACTTCCATCTGCCAGGTCCACAGACCATGCTACTCAGATTCTACACAAAGAGTGGGCCAAATTCAATATGCAGAAGGATTCCAAGGAAGATCAAGAGGTTTATTAAAAATGAAGATTCTTGGTCGCCACTCTGAGATATTCTTAGTAACGGTTGGGCCCTAGAATAAGCAATTTTAAATGAGGACCCTAAATGACACTGATACAGACAGCCCACTGAATGAGAAAGACTCCTAGAAACCTCAAACAATTACTAATCAAGGTGGGTTTTTGTTTTGTTTTTTTTTTTTGGGGGGGGGGGTGGTTGTGGGGCTTGAACACAAGACCTGGGTGCTGTCCCTGAGCATCTTTTGCTCAGATAGCATCTGCCACTTTGAGCCACAGCTTCACTTCCAGTTTTCTGGTGATTAGTTGGAGATGAAAGTCTCACTGACTTTCCTGCCTGGACTGGATCTGAACAGTGATCCTGAGGATTACAGGCAGATTGATCAAGTTTAATGTCTCTCTTAGGAACTTCTGGGAAAGACAAGGCAGCATTTATGCCAAGTAACCGTATGGTGAGAGAATAAAAGATTAAGAACTAACTGGTTAATTCATGATTTGCTCTCTAAGATTACAATGCAAACAGGCACTGGCAGCTCATACCTGTAATCCTAGTTGCTCAGGAGGCTGAGGATCATGATCTGAGGATCCTGATTCAAAGCCAGCTCAGGCAAGGAAGTCCTTGAGACTCTTATCTCAATTAACAGCCAGAAACCAGAAGTGGAACTGTGGCTCAAAGTGAGAGAGTACTATCCTTGAGCGAAAAGGGCTCAGGGATGGTGCCCAGGCCTTGAGTTAAGGCTCTAAGAACATGAACACCAACACAAAAGATTAGAGATACTGACATTTTAGGGAGGAAAAGGGATGTTTTGACTAGTAAACAATAGCTAGTAAGTATAAAAAGGTTACTTTTAGACAAAAAGCACAAGCATACTTCCTACCACATAAGCAGTATAATCTCACATCCCACATTCCAGTTGGTTTTTTGTTTTTCTGTTTTTTTACTGATCCTATCTACGTAGGGGAAACGTTATTTAGGCCCTGGGCATGGGACTGGCAGAGGCCAAGCTGGCTCTCAGGGGCAACCAATGTTACTGGAAAAAATATGGACACACGAATTTGTGTGTCATCCTTTGTACATGGACCATGTTAATATTCTCTTGTATCGTTCAATTTTTGTAAGTGGGCTGACAAAGTGAGCAAACATTCCACATTCTTGAGCTTGTTAGCCATTTAAGTCCTGTCTCCCTCACCCCCATCCTTTATTTTTTTTAGATAAGAGATCCCATAAAAAATAGGAGATCCTACTTTTTGTTTGGGCTGACTACACACTTCAATCTTACCTCTGTGTCTTGTATAGGTAGGACATCTTCATGCCCAGAGCTTGTTTTCTGGGATGGTCTTGCAAATAAATGAATTTTTAAAAATGTTATCTTTCTATCTACAGCCTCATAAGTTGGCAAGGATTACATAGGTGTACTATGTGCCCGCCTCGTTTGTAGAGATGTGTGTCCTGCTAACTTCCACTGGGCTGCTTGGGCTGGCCTCAGACTGTGATCCTCTCAGTCTCTTGTGTGCCCATCAAGGATCTGACATTAAAGGTATGCAATACAATGCTTGGCCCTTAACAGTTCTCAGGAACACCATACGTTTTCATGATTAAGTACAATGATGTAAAATTTGTTTTTAATTCGATTTAACTGAACTCAGTGAAATATATCCTGTTGTGATCTCTTAGAAGTTTGGTCATGTTAAGTCTCCTTGTAAAGGAAGAAGGCAGTGAGAGGAAGGAAAGCACTTGCATAGGTGATCTAGTCTAAGCCGAGTTCTGTGGACTGAAAATCACACCTTGACATACGGAATAGACAACTACCTACCATCAAACAGGAGTTTCTAGGTTAACGGCTTTTCCTAGAAATACACTGCTCTTGTCTGTAGTCCATGTCTTAGAGGATAGAAATTCTGCATTAACAATTTGATCTTTTTGTGTGTGTGTGTACTGGAGCTTAAACTCAGGGCTTTAGCTTTTTCCCTTAGTTTTTTCACCCAAAGCTGGCACTTTGCCACCTGGGCCAGTTTGTTTTTTGTTTGGTCACTCGAGGGGCTTGAACTCTGGGCCTGAGCCCTGTCCCTCAGCTCTTCAGCTCAAGGCGAGCGCTCTACCACTTGAACTACAGCACCACTTCCGGTTTTCTAATGGTTTATTGGAGCTAGAGTTGCACTGACTTTCCTGCCCGGGCTAGCTTTGAACCCTGTGTCAACAGCTTGAGTAACTCCTGATATACATCAAGTTTATTATTCAGGAGCAAGCACTGACAGGACATAATGTGAGCTTGAGGAAGTAGGGGAAAAAACAGTTTCAATCTAAAGGCACAGGAATGGCAGGTTTGACTCTAAAGACCAACAAAGGCCGAATTTTTTTTTTGGAGGGGGGGGGGGGGGGGTCAGTCATGGGCTTGAACTCTGGGCCTGGCTGCTATCCCTGAGCTCTTCAGCTCAAGGCAAACACTTTGCCACTTGAGCCACAACTTCTGGTTTTCTGGTGGTTTATTGGAGATAAAAAGTCTCAGACTTTCCTTCCCAGGCTGGCTCTGAACCATGATCCTCATATCTCAGCCTCCCGAGTACAGGTTTACAGGCATGAGCCACTGGCACCTGGCGAGCCCAGACTTTTGAAGTGTGAAAAGCCCATGTCTGCTAGAGCCATTTAGGAATGGCTGAGGAATCCAGGGCCTGTTCAAGACTCCAAGATGGAAACATTCCTTTTGGCTTTAAAGTAATTAAATCTCTATCTCCAGGGCATTTAAAGCAGTCACACGCACACATAAGACTATACATTTAAATAAGTGAATACACACACACACACACACACACACACACTGTTTTTAAATAAATACATATATTGAAGTATAAAGTTTTTTTTTTTCCTGAAACGGAAAACTCCATAAAACCAAAGTGACAATAATGTAATCATTACATTTATCTGCGTTATAAAAGCTTATAAACGTTTAGAACTTGGTTATTTTTTTCATTGTAATGTAGCTCTGGAGATATTATGGAGCACTTTATGTGTCAATTTCTTTTTTAAAAAAAATTTTTGGGTCCGGTCGTTGGGGCCTGAACTCTAGGCTTGGGCACTGTCCCTCAGCTCTTCAGTCCAAGGCTAGCGCTCTACCACTTGAGCCACAGTGCCACTTCTGGCTTTTTCCTTTTTTCTTATGTGGTGCTGAGGAATCGAACCCAGAGCCTCATGCATGCAAGGCAAGCGCTCTACCACTTCCTAGCCCTTATGTCTCAATTTCTAACCACTCAAGTGTCATCACTTGGGAGCTCCAAGCCAACAAACAGCACAAGTGCAGGCACACATGGTGTTCTAGACACAGCCTCCAGCCCTATCAGAAGTGACTTCCTCTAAGGAGGATCACACCCTCCCTTTCCAAGTCCATTTCTGATGTAAAGAGTAAAAGAATACACGGACTATGTTAAAAGCCATCCTGTATTTCTTCCTACCACACTAAAAGTCTACCTGGTAGAGAGCAGCAAACCCAGCAACCACCTATACATCTCCATTTCAGGCTGATTTGTTTAATAATTAATTCTTAATAACCAGCAAGGAAGTGATTTCACACTCTGCCTCTAAGGCTTTTAAAAGCAGTCCACTTTTAAACAAATAGTAAAATGCTGGCTAGTTCACCATGCCCCTAACTAAAAAGTTATCTAAATGTGACAATGTAAAGTTTAAAGCTTAAATACATTCATCCATCTTCTCATTTTAAGAGAGAAGTTATTTGGGAAAAGGAAACCATGTTATTAGTTTATTCTGATGTGGCAACCTGACTTCCATCTGTGTCCCTAGAAGTACCTCAACTTGTTTAAAAGAAAGATAAACTGTTCTTTAAAAAGGATTGGAGCACTGTTTCTAAACAGGACATCCTGGTTGACTTGAAGTGTAACTCAAAGTAAATTGTAATTTTTCATCATTTTTAGTTGAAACCAAATCCTACCCATAAAACCAGACTCTGGCCCTGAAGAAGTTCTTTCTAAAACAATGGAAAAGTACTCTGGAAGTTAAAATGCCTAAGAGACGCAGAGAAGCAGGAAGCCTTGGGATCTGGCCTCAAGTCTTCCTGAGCTCCTCCAATGAGTCACCTACTACTCATTCCAAGATGAAGAACAGGTGACAAGGCTTGCTTGCTTCCATTACCTCTCCATATGAGGAGAGGTAATGGAAGACCAACTTTGAGAACCAACAGCTAAGAGAAAAAGGAAACATTACTGAAGTTGCTACAGGAGATCAGAAAAAGGGACTAAAGCAGAAAAGGAAGATCTCCTCTGTTTCCTTATGTTTAAAAAAGCCTAAATTTGAATGTGTTATAAAGTTTGATGGTTCTTGTGGTCTGGGTTTGTTTGGATTTTTTTTGGAGGGGTGGTTTTGGTGGGGTTTTTTTTTTTCCCCCAGTATCTTCTTTTCTCTTCTTTCATTCCCAATTAGTCTCAACAAAATGCTTTGAAGTTACACATGCCACATGAGAAACTGTTCGAAAGGGATTTATATTGTAGATCCTGGACTGTTGGCCAGAAGAAATGTTCCATTTGCTACCCTTCCTATCCATACAATACAGTGCACCAAACCTCCAAATTTTGGAGCTTGAGTTTACAGGGGCTGGCAGGTAAACCAGGATGATCTACAAAAGGGAAAGTTCAGAGGATTCCCACCATGAATACTGTCTTTGGTGGTTTTGATAAAACAGGACATGGAGAAGAAATGGACACTATATAGAGTGAGTTGTGTAATACTTGACAAACATACCACCAAGCATTTTATTACCTCCATTATTTATTTAATCCTAACTCCAACTAGGTGAACTAGGTAGGCCCAATCTCCATCTCCATTTGGTAGACATAGAAATGAAGGCTCAAAGAATTTTGTTCAACGAAAGTGTAGAACCCAGAATAAGCTTGATTCCTAAGTCCAGGAGCCCAACACCCACCATCTGCACTCGACCTGTTGTGAGATACACCTTTCCAAGTTCTTCGAAATTTCTACACACCCCTGCTGTTAGCATCTGAAAAGTCTTGATAGAAACTTGATAGGAGTGCTTGAGAGTGCTTGAGAGCAACCACACCTAGCTTATTTTGTCTGATCTACTATGATTTTAACAGTGGGCAATACAATTGTCAACAAGCTCAGTAATTTTTGTTTGTTTTCTGTGTTAGAGCCCTACTACTTCCAATAGCATGTGGAATTTCAGAGCAAACTTAGACGCTCTGAAAGGTTCGTCTGGTTGATGAGGCAAGAGATCAAAATACACTTAGAAGCTTTAGAAATCTCCTTTTTATGTCAGATCTATAAGCTATGATCTAGGGGGAAAAAGATGTAATCACAAATGAGTCATGCTAATGGCATTGTGCTAAAATCTTGCCAAATAAATATCACTTATTTAAAAAAAAAAAAAAAAGGATTAAGGCTAAGCACTGGTGGCTTATGACTATAATCCTAACTCCTCAGGAGGCTGAGATCTTAAGGATCTAGGTTCAAAGCCAGCCCGGGCAAAAAAGTCCATGAGACTCAAATCTCTGATTAACCACCTGAAAACTGAAGTGAAGCTGTGACTCAGAGTGGTAGAGTGCTGGCTTGAGCAAAAGAGCTTAGGGACAGCATCTAGAACCTGAGTTCAAGCCCCACAACTGCCACCACCACCAACGAAGAGCAAATGTAATACTGGTAATGTAAGAAAGTCTAAGATTCCATACTGGGTGGGGAGAGAAGAACAACATTAATTTCATATATTTACTTATATAATTCTAAAAGGATATATCATAATCAAAGCTGTCTGAAGGCCTTTCTCCCTCGTTTCCTTGGTTTATTTTTATTTAGTTTTTGAGGCAGGGTTTCATTTTGGGGGCCAGGCTGGACTACAACTTGCTTCATAGTCCAAAATGGCCTCAAACGAACTCTAATACTCCCAGTTCAGCCCCCTCAGGTGGTGGGATTACAGGTATGTACTAAAATGTCTAGCTGGAATGCCTTAAAACCATTTATAGAGTCCAATGGCTATATGATGAAGGTGAGTTGGCTTCATCTGTTGCCGAGTATTCACAGTTAACCTAATTCACTACAAGTAATAGTGTACACTTCAGAACCAACCACCCATTTACCCCACTATTATTTTATATAGTAATCATGTCAGGTAGACACAC